CCCCCCCCCCCCCCCCGGGCCTAACCAAGTCCAGTACTAGCTTTTATCATTCATATGTGATCTACCAATAGCAGATATAATGCATGTATGCAAATGAGATGCAAATGAGACAACAAGCATTGTATTGACTCGAAAGTCTCACTTGTATGTTTCTTAGACAACAGAATGTGTCACTACAGGCTCAACTGTAATAACATCTATTTCTCAGACCCCATTAATCGTTGCTGAAAACTAAATTAGACCTGATAAAGATAATATGAAACATACCAGTTACAAGTAGTTCAAAATCTATTGATGATTCTTTATACATGGGTGACACTTTTTTCTGGAAAACCTTCAGACTCTTGCCCTGTCCACTGGAAGGATTTACTAAAACAAGTAGCTTTCTTCTTGGTGGCAGATTTTTATCTTTTGAAAAAAATATGCACAAATGTGTGAAATATAATAATTAAAACATGCTATTAAATAATATATGTATACATACATATATGCTTGGTGTTTTACATCATAATCAAAGAAGGAGTGGAAGCATTCATTGGATGAATGCAAAATATGTATGCAAAAAGTAGATTTAACTTATCTCTGTGGGTTGGCCGTGCCCTTACTTTAATCAACCCAGAGGTTGTTTCAGGGTTTGATCTGTGAGTTAGCCATGCCCTTACTTTAATCAACCCAGAGGTTGTTTCAGGGTNACTTTAATCAACCCAGAGGTTGTTTCAGGGTTTGATCTGTGAGTTAGCCATGCCCTTACTTTAATCAACCCAGAGGTTGTTTCAGGGTTTGATCTTTGAGTTGCTGTGACCTGACTTAGATCAGACCAGAGGTTGTTTTAGGGTTCGATCTGTGAGTTGCTGTGACCTGACTTAGATCAGACCAGAGGTTGTTTTAGGGTTCGATCTGTGAGTTGCTGTCCCCTGGCTTAGATCAGACCAGAGGTTGTTTCAGGGTTTGATCTGTGAGTTGTCTTGTCCTGAATTAGATCAGCCCAGAGGTTGCTTCAGGGTTTGGTCTGTGAGTTAGCCATGCCCTGGCTTAGATCAGCCCTGAGGTTGTTTCAGTTGAGTTAGCTGTACCCTTTCTTTCATTGATAAGTTGTTTTAATCCACAACTATTTCTCATTCTCTCTCTACTTGACGTACAGTTCTAGAATTATGAGGACTCTGTTGGCAAAGGATGCCATCTTGATAACAATTAAACGTCAACTTTTATGCACTCATGAATTTCTACTACTCCTTCCTTAATGTTTCACGATAAATTCAATATTCTGACCTTTGTTACTATGATATAATAGGTTTAATTACCCTTTGAAAGATCTAATCCACCCTTTACCACTACTAATCAAATTAATTTTTTCATTTCAAACATAAACTGAAGACACTGAGAAATAGGGATTGCCATTATGTAAATCGTTTTTTTAGGCATTGCTAGGGAGGTGTATAGATGATACATTTTAAACATTTTGAATTCAAAAAAACAGATGCTCAGCTTGCTGTTTCGGTTCCATTCATGCATTTCCTATCATCCACTACTATGGCTAGTCTTGACTAGACTTTCCATCTTACGATATTCAACATACACCACTTTATCGACCCTGAAATGAAAACGTTTTTTACCTTTCAAAGTAGCAGTATCTATGCTTGGATTTCTTATTAACCATAAGATCGTCTTGATCCAGTGTTCAGCTCGTTTGATATTAGATTCAAGATCTTCCCATCCACTGACTTTGAAACGGATTTTTCGTCTTATTCTCTTATTTCCCCGCACGGGGCAAATGTAGATATGAATATAGGCGTTTTCATCCTCGTTGATACTACTCCTAAATAACTTAGCACCATAAATATCGCTAACACTTAGGTTAAATAAATGATTCTTTGAAGGTTTACAGCAAGATTCAATGGTGGTTTCGTTATAAAACAGTTTTTCTCTTGTCAGTCGAACGTCATAAAACCTTTTACCCGGTAAAAGTTGAAAACAGTTTTGTAGCATCACTGATTCAGCCATGTTTTAAAACGAAGGCAAATATTTCATTATATTGCTACAGTTATGTATTTTCCTTATTTATTCCTTCGTTGTTCATCCTTCAAATCAATCGTGTGTGTCGATCGTGTGACTACGAGATGACTTACGGGTTACGGGATTCTTGCGGGATCATTACGCGACTGGTGACCGCAGTGGAAACAAGTCAGCGGAATATCATTTAATCAAGATGGCGGACGAAGTTGGTTTGGTTGTCTGTCAAAGTTTTTCCTGCAATATTTCGCGATGCGTAAGGCTTTCGTGTGCTTTAGCTCTTGTTTCTGGTACAACGTACGTTTTATACAAATATATAAAGAAATCGACTGAGTTTTCCCGGAACGATTTTAAGGAAACTGCGCCATTTATACGTCAAGTGTTGTTCTTCCCCGACAAGAAGATCGCTTGTAAAAGTTTTCTTTCTGGTGTGAACTGTTCTCGCTCAATATGTCCATATGCCCATGAAGATACGTCCCTTAGTAAGCTAATCAAGACTATCATGAAAGCCAAGTCTACCCTGGATGTATGTGTGTTTACGATCAATTGTCACGAGCTTGCCAACGCTGTAGTGGAGTTACACAAGAAAGGTGTTGTAGTTCGTATACTGACTGACGACGAACAAATGGGATCCTCTGGATCACAGATACAAAAATTTAGAGAACAAGGTATTCGTGTCAGACATGACTTGTCCTCCTTTTTCATGCATCACAAGTTTGTTATTATTGATAATTGTTTGATAGCTAATGGTTCATTCAACTGGACAAGACAAGCAGTCACCGGCAACAGAGAGAATGTTGTGATTACCAATGAAGCTCAGATTGTAAAAGCTTTTAGCGAAGAATTTGAAAAACTATGGATTGAATATGACCCAGCTTCTCGATCGTAAAAGAGGCTTTGACTTCTAGATATTTTTTACCCCGATTAGCTGTGTTGATCAAGTCAATTTTTACAATTTTTATTTATAATTTCGTGTTGTTTCACCAATGAAAGTTTGAGTCAGAGTTAGTAAAGTATTTCCTAAGTTTTCAGACTTCAAAATAATAATGTTAACAATAATATTGGTAGAAATCCCAATGAGTCGTTATCACATGGCTCCATGTTTATTCCCATGAGAATGAAAATCTTTATTTAACCCTAACCTAACTTGAAGTGATTGAATGCGAGGCCATGCAGATGAAATCTTTTGTCCCAGTCAACTTGGCTGCCACATGATAGGGGCCCGTAATCCTAATAAACTGATGCTCACAAGGAATTCTGGGGAACTTTGGGATCATCAAGACCACATTTGTTTTGATGCCAAGAACACATTTATTTTAGGTAACATAATTTTTATTCACCTTTTATATACATCATCCAATAAATCTTTTTGTTTGCAATTTATAAACTTTAGTTTTGTCTACGAAATATTCGACACTAAGCATTTCAAACTCACTATGCATATTCAGAAATAGAGTGCATGCCATATATTTGTGAAACAAAATCAAAGATGTATTGTGCAGTTCCAAAAATTACCCATACCCCCCCTCCCCCCTTATGGAGGAATTTTTTTAAGACAACCCCCCTACCCCCAGAAATTATAATTTTCTTCCATACAAACTCTGTAATTTTTGTTCATTCTCTGACACACCCTCCCTTTGGAAATTCCAAATTCCTCTGTGGGGTGGGTATGGATAATTTCTGGAACTACACATTGTCTAATTGCACGTCTATGTGTACAAAATGGTAATAATAATGGGATTAACAGAGGACCACAGAGTGGCTCTTCTTCCACTGGATTAAAGTATGCAATGGTGGATATCACTGGAGCAGAACACTGGGAACAAAGTGGCCAAATTCTTAGATAGTTGACAACTAAAATATTAGTTGATAGCCAAATATTTTGAAGTGCTCCATAGCTTGTGATTGTTTACAGATAAAGTGAAAATAATAACGTTTTCTAAGAATTTTGAAGAGTTTGAGTGAGAAAATAAATGTTTGTTTTCTCTGAGGAAAAAAAAAAGGTCGCAAGTGTACTTTTGTCAGACCAAGATACTGTATGAACAAACACTATAAAGAATTAGCCTTATAAGTTTCAAGCATGGACACTAAGTTTTGGCATTTTGTGAAGTCCAATTTATCAGGCATGTTTGAAAGTCAAATTTACATATGTTTTGGCTATTTTGCACACAGATTCAGAGCATGCGCAGACGTTTTTCACTTGTATCGGTTTAAGTGCCATCACTTTTGATCTAAATTTTAAAATCATAAGAGTTTGCATCTAGCTTTTGAGTCAAAAATAATCTGGCATTCTAGAAAATTATTGCTGGGTCATCCTAATGTATTGGTATATAAAAGCTAAGCTATTGATGGTTCACAACCATTCCCAAGAGAGTCAAATKACTAAGACATGGTAGCCATGTTATTTAAGTTCCACCAATATGGCAACAATAATATTAAGTGAAGAATTGTCATGTAGGTAAGGGAAGGCAAGTTTCTATGCCTATGACAGAATTATTGATCCTTGACTGCTTTTGTTATCTAGTTACTGAATTCTTTGATATCCTACAGCCCTTTTCTTATGCTTCCATTCCACTGTGAAGAAGCCCAATGTTCCTATAAATGACCATATTACCTGCAAAAAAAAATTAAATTTATTGTCCAACCACTCAAGAAAGGAAACTACCAGCAACCTGATTTTTTGTTGCAATTTGTATTCTTCATTTATTTTTAAGGATTTTTAAAATTTAAGATTCTTGAYCCTGACATCACAATACTCCATTTTACAGTTCCGTTCAGAGACCACGAATAATAGTCTCATGTTGAGATTGGAGTTTTTCGCACATAGTAAAACTACAGTTTATCATGCACTGCAACTCCAGCCTCCGCTTGGAACTATTATTCGTGGTCACTGAATCTCAGGGTTTGATCAGATTTATGCTAGCATTAATAAATATGGAAAATGCCCTCACCAGAATCAGCAGTTGCCACTGCAGCTGAATTCTATTACTGTAAAAGAATCCTACGGCAGCAAAAAGGGACTGAAAAGAAAGGAACAAAATTACTACCAGGTTCTCATTACTTAAGTCATAAAAATGGCTCATTTATATCCATTACTTTATAGCAGGTTTTTCAAAAATTGCTTCAAGGAAATTAACTGCTTCAAGAGAAATCATATGAAGGTGTTAATTTATCATTATTTTCATTGTTGTTTATTGATGCTTATTGATTGGTAATAGGTTACATTCTCAATAGACACCATGATGGGCCATGGGTTCTTCAGGGGGGAGTAGAGGGGGGGATGTCATTGGAATATTCCAATATTTTAGAAGATCTAATTCAAGTATTTCATTTATCAGAAAATGAACAAATAAATCAGAAAAATGTTAACAAATATTTACTGGAAAAAATTATGATTCTATCATTAAGAAATCTCCTGAATTGAAGTTGTTTGCCCCCTCAGAAAACACATGACTAATCTGCATTATAATACGAAAACCATCATGATATTTATCATGAATAGAAGCTAATGTTAATAACTCAGGAATGATGATCAGAAGGCCTTATGCAACGCATGGCACTGACAGAACTGATGATGAATGAAGACAAGAGATTAGGTACAACGTATATATTTAACTGCCTTATGGGTTACCTGTGTAAACTTGAAAAGAGCAAAGGCTGGTGCACTGTCATCAGAGTAAGCAAACCCTAAGATGGAATATATCTGCAACAACAAGTAAACTGTTGTGAACATATGACAAAGGACTGAACAATCATCACATCAATGTTCACATTTATTATGTTTGAATAAATGGATAAGATGCATGACAGCTGAGATGGGATGGCTGAGATGAGATGGTATGGCTTCTTGCTTAATGAATGGCAGAAATGGATACCATGTTTGTGATGGATCTATGTGATGAATGAATGAGAGTGTGGATAAGATAGATGGATGGAATAGATAATGGTTAATTTGTTGGATGAATAAGATGGAATAAAAAGGATCAATGGAATGGGATAAATGAATTAATGGGCTTGGATAAATGGATGAATGAGCTTGGATAAATGGATGAATGGCATAGGGAAAAATAGGATGAATGGATGGGATAAATAGGATGAATGGATGGGATAAATAGGAATGTATGGGAAAAATAGGAATGTATAGTATCAGAGTATTTTCCTACCTGGGTGTTAAAGCTACTGTCACCTAACCCAAGCAGAAAAGCACAAATGAGAGCGATGTACTGACTAAAAAAAAATTATCTCAATCAACAAGAAATTGGTGTAACTAAAATCACTCAACTTAGCTAAAACAAGTTTTGGTCAATGTCAATAGACAATCTTAGTATATATCTAAGAAAACTTAAGTTGTGACCAACAAAACCATAAATTAGAAAAATTAAAATAATCTTTACTAATCAAAGTTCCAAGCTTTCAGACAATAATCTACTTATAGAAAAATTTGCTATTAAAATCTTGAAGACTAAAATACTTACGAGCAACTAACTAATGTAATGTAACACTAATGTAACACTTATAACAATGAAGAAAGATAAAGACTAAAAATAATGCATCAGCTAAGAATAAAAACAATATCAACTTATGATCTATTTAAATAACGATATAAAGTATGCAGGAAATGATACTCTAGGGAAAACAGTGGCTTAGGTCTATCAAAAAGCTTTGGTCCAAGGCGAATAAGGTCTATTCAAGAGGGCACAAGTTTATTATCATATTTGTGACAAATGCATGAGTATATATTAGGTTTCATACATACTTAGGCTTGATATACGCCTTATCAAGAGTTTTCCCTATCGGTGCATGTGAAGGTATGTTGAGGAATATCATGAGAAAGGCAGCCAGATGCACCACAAGGCCAAGAAGAACTATTGGATCACGACCAAATTTATTGGTTTTCTTGCCAAAAATACCAAATGCCAGACCCCCTAAAACATGAGGCATCATGCCTATTAGTATTAATATAACTTTCTTTAACACTCTTTAAATTTACTACATTTTTCATTGCTGGGTTGCTGATCAAGACAAGCTCTTGCAACAATAGACTTTAGGTGACAGACTACCATCAATCAAAAAAATTGTTGGAGTACATAAAAATACATGTATACTATGAGAAAATACACTATTGCTCATTCACCKGGAGCAGCTTCTAGAGTAAACTCAAAGAATTAAGTAGATTTTGGAAGGAGCAAAACTAGAGAACCCAGAAAGGAATATTGCTCAGCAAATGAAGGGAGAAAGCCAACAAACCCTACTCACATGTGATGGGAAATTCAGGAATAGAGTTTATTCGTGGTGTGACAATGTTTTCCCAATTCAGCGTGACAAAACTCCAGAGGATTCATTTTCTTTTGTTTTTACTCTTCGAAAAAATTCATGAGTATCCCAAAGGATATACGAAAGGAATAACGATGATATCCCGATGAGTTTCAAAACAATAGCTCTTCATTCTCCTAGAGGTTTGTCACATTCAATTTGGAAAACATTGTCACACCACGAATATGGTAAATGCATTGCCCACTACACCACCCCTACCCTTGATGAATCCCAAAATTCCCCATTATAATACTAATAATTACCAAGAATCTCTCCTACGCCAATAGATACACCAACCAAACCAATGATCTTCTGCGCTGATGGAATCTTTAAAGTGTTTGCTGGAAAATTTAAATATAGATTATTTCTTCACTAGAAAGAGTTATGGAATGGTTGGTTAGTAGGATTTTGTGTCGATGCATGGAGTAATTTCTCAGACTGCCAAGACAAATGCTCATGTTTAAGATTTTGATGCCAGATCAAAGTGGAATTTAGTAGTTAGGTTTTTATGGAGGGAGGAAAACTAGAGATAAACTCTTGAAGCACAGAAGAGAACCAGCAAGTAACTCTAGTCATATACGGCACTGGGTGTGGGAATAAATACACCACCCATGCTTCAATGTTGAAGGAATGAATGGATAGGCAGATAGTTGGGTGGAACTATTGACCCTTAAGAATGTTTTATAATAAGAAAGAGGTTAACTTACCAACAGATGTTCCATAGACACCACTGAAAAACGTCAATTCTAAACCTAGGAAAACAAACAGAAAAAAGAAATTCCTGTAACCACACAATACTTTATAAATGAAAAGAAATAATCTCTGAGATATTATTGAAAGCATAACTTGACTGACTGTCAATTGAATTTGCTTTGCTATAATTATATAGATCCTTCACTAACCTGTGTAAGCAAAGCACAAGCTGAGGAGAATCATATCTTTTGTCATGAACAGTCTAAAAGATGTTTCTATAAACAAATAACAAACAAGAATTATTGTATATGATATTGGTTTTAAGTGGAGGTAGGTTTAGCTCAGTGTAGCAGCATATCTACTTACTCAATGCTGCCAAGGGTCCCGGCTTGGAAGTTGCATGGGGAGTCCTAAGAGAAAGTTCCAAGTTTAAAATTACCTTATTCAGCTAGTATACAGCTTTCGAAATATTTCCTTTTCTTTCAATGGCAGTTATAAGGAAATAGATGGATAGATGAATGGGCTGGTGGGTGTGCAGGTAGTAGGATGGATGGATAAAGGGATAAATGCATGGATAAATGCATGGATGAATGTATGGATGAATGGATGGATGAATGGATGGATGAATGGGTGGGTGGGTGTGCCGGTAGAAGGATGGATGGATAAAGGGATAAATGCATGGATGGATGGAAGGATGGAGGGATGGGTGAATGGATAAATGGATGGATAAATAGATGGATGGATGGATGGTCCAATGGATTGATGGATGGGTAAATGGGTAAATGGAATGATTAATTGAATGATTAATTGATGCATAAATGAAGGAAAACAGGAGGAATAAATAAACAATATAATAGAATAGATTCAGCATTAATACCTGGGTGACGTTTTTCCTTCAATATCATGCAGCACCTAGGATTAAATGTAACAAAGAAAAATGAATAATGAAGATTATAAGTCATAAGTCATCAATCACTAGGAGGACATACAGGAATTGGTTCCAGGTTGCATAAATGAATGGTTAATACAGGGCTTAAAATAATGCCCAATCAGACACTGGTCATCACAGGCCAAACTAGTTTTCTCTTAGTCGAACCTTATTTCTGGTAAAATGTTACTGGTCAAAATGACCAGCAAGGAAAGATTTGACCACAGTCCCAATTCTGGCCAACGTTGCCTGATGTCCTGCTGTAATTTTATGCCCTGTTATCAATGCCTAAAAGGGTTTCTTACCTTTTCAGCAATCAAAGGTGGTTTACGTAACAGAAAGAGGAGTAAGATTCCAATTCCACAAACAGCACTAAAGACAATAAATACTGTAGTCCTTGTGTGATCATCTGTAAAAATATATCAACTTTGTATCAAATATGTTTACTAACTATGGCAATCATGAATGAATGAATAAAGAAAGGAAGGAAGGAAAGAAGGAAGGGAAGGAAGGAAGGAAGGAAGNAGAAAGAAAGAAAGAAAGAAAGAAAGAAAGAAAGAATTAATGAACCAATAGTAATGAAAAATGATTAAAAGAAAAGGAATATTTAAAAAACGCGAAGGAACATAAACAAGAGACCTACTGCCTGAGTTGTCGAACGTTTATTCTGTTGTCAGTTGTCCTGCCCCACGGTTAGGCCTCAATCAAGTATGCATGATTTTTCATTTTGTGTGTGTTTTACTTTATTGTATAAATCATCTATCATTTATGATAAGATTAAAATCAGAACTGAATCGAATAAACCCGTGGATAAGCTATTCAGTCTCTCTACTTCCATTCATTTCTCTTTCTTTTGCTCGTTCTTTCTTTTTCTTTCGTTTTCATTATTTTAGCTGGTTTTGGGTTTATTTTTGGCTGTTTCAATTGCATGAAATTTTGGGTAAACATGGGAAATGATTTATTTTCGTGCAAGTCGATTTACATGTAAATGACTCGTGATCGATTATTCATAACATTTTAAAGCTCTTTGCCACACGACTGCCAAATGCATATGAACTAGTTCTTCTCTTAAAACCAAATCCGTTTCTTAGCACTTTGCTGGGTTTATAAAACGTTAATGGAAGGGACGCCATTTCGACTCGATCGACTGCATGTCATCTTGGAAGAATTCACTAGTTAACAACAGTCGTCACCGATGAATAAGAATGCACCTTAAGAGATCTGTACTCGTGATTGTGCCGCATACAATATCTCAAGCAATTAAACCCTTGCTTAAGCCACGAATCTGAACCTCATTTTATCTTTAATTTATAGAGATATTTCATGCACTATGAAGTCTAAAATTATTGCCTCTAATACTGAACGCTAGCAAAAGAACTATAACTTGATTAAGAAATGAGCTAAACGTAAAAAATAAATGAAATAATTTCCCCCGAGGCAAAACGGCTTCTCTTCAATCAAAAATGTCGACTCCAATTTTAAGTGATCTCGGAGGCCGAGTTTTTTCCCGCCATTTCTTTAGGGTGGATCGCGTGCGGGCGTTTTGAAAATACGAGTTATATTAACATAAACGAGGGAAGCCTCCATAAACACCCCCTCTTTTAAATGATCGACCATATTGGATTTAGAAGATCTGTCATAAACTGACAGTCTTGCATAATTAGATAAATCATGCCTTTTATAACCGACCGCAAAATCTCCTTAAGCCGGCCATTTTGCACTTACGGTGTAAGTAGATAAGTTATATTAGGGATAGCTCGTTACAAAGCAGACTGCTAACCCACATAAATACAAAGTCTTACATAACTAGATTAACTTCGCTTCTTACCATTTGGGTTTTTCTCCGGGTTCTCCGTCACTTACTCCCTCTGTTAAAAGTAACACGTTTAATACCAACTCAATTAGTAGGTTAGCCCTGAGCTCACTTAGACCAGCCCAGATGCCCTGAATTTCATCAGCCCAGATGCCCTGAATTTCATCAGCCCAGAGGCTGTTTCAAAATTCGAACTGCGAGTCACACCGGTGACTTTGATCAACCCTGAGATTGATTCAAGGTTCGATAAGATTCCACTTTTTTATAGCAGTACTTGATATTCGATGGCATACTTCACCTCACTGACTACGAACTTTATCAATATGATCTCTCAATGCATCAGATTGGATGACTGTTCAGCGTAAAAGTGCCAGACTTGACTACTCTCAAACCCATACCCATTTTCAGATAACTTTCTTGTGAATCAGTTAATAGAGGCCCTTTCTCAGTTCCAAACCTTAAAAATCTCGACGGACCTACACGAAGCGACGATAGAAAATTTTGAATAAATGGGGGAACAAAGAAAGGAAGGAAGGGAAGGAAGGAAGGAAGGGAGGGAAGGAAGGAAGGAAGGAAGGAAGGAAGGTAGGAAGATAGGAAGGAAGGAAGCAAGGAAGGAAGGAAGGATCACTTTCAATTTATCAGATAGATAGATACTTTATTAAAATATATCACACTGAGCCTTAAAGGCTGAAAGCCTGAAACAATTAAAAATGAGAAACTAAAGGGATATTAATATACACAATATTTACCCTAAAATAATAAATAATAAAAGCTAAAAACTATGTAAGAACTATTTACACGAATACACAAAGATAAGATAAAACTATTTCTAAATCTATTTGTATTGTAACGCTGAAGTCAAGCGCTGGCAGAAAAAGTTTATGCTTATCGTCCTCTCTAATAAATGCTGTTATAGGGGCACATGCAGAAGTCATTGTGGTGCTTATCTATATCTGAAAGTCCTAGCCTGTTTAGTACAAATTGGTATTCCTAGCCTGGACAAAATATAATATGCATTGCTCTCTTTGGTAGCCGTTCAAGTTTGTACATTAAGTACTTTGGTAATGAATAGTGAAAACTGGGGCAGCATAGTCGATAACAGAGCGTATAATGGCAGTATACAACAGACAAAGATCTTTCATTGAAACATTGGCCCTTTTAAGTTGTGTAAGAAAGTATAGGAAGTCATGAGCGCTCGCTTGACATCATTTAAATAATCATCTTACCAATGTTTTGTTTCCCAGGAAACATAATAAACACAAACAAATTTCCAAATAACAAGCTGGAAAAAACAAAAGAGTAAATAACATTTTCAGAGATTGTAAAAATAAATGTATTAGCCTTTAATTTGATGAAAAAACTCCTAATATTCAATAAAAACATCCATAAAATATCCTTCCATGAGCACTTGTGTATCATTCATGGAGTAATATCATTTTCTTTTCTGTTTCTTCCCGTCTCTTCTACATCATGTTGGTTGTCTAAACCTCATCTATTCCATTCCGCTGTGTGCGACTGGAATATTTTCTGGAAATACAGAGGGCTACATCTAGAAATGAATAACAAACCTGCACTGCAGCAGTGCCCAGAAGATACCACTGTTCCTGGACATGGTGTCAGTGTCAGAGTTTAAAGTAAGAAAATTTCCTTGTCCAGTCCAGATAACTAAAAGAAAGAATTGGGATTCCTTTGGTAAGAATGACATAGGTAGCCAAAAATGTAAAACGTTAGTAAATCCAAATTATATACTGTCAATTAGAGAAAAAATATTGATAGTGCAACACCTTGAAAGGTATAAATATCGAGTAATAAATTGAGACTTACCACTTGCACCAAGTCCAATAATGACAGATGCCAAATATAGTGTCCATGTCATTGGTTTTAGAAAAGATAGGATAAATAATCTAAAAAGAAAAAATAATCATTATGGAAAAAATGAGCAGATATTTGAATATCAACACACATCTGTATCGATGTTGATCACACAGCAGCCAAGTTGACGAGAACAATAGATGTTGCTAGACTCTTCCACAGTCTCTTGCTTGTCCGTTCCGTYTCCACGCTTAGAGACTGTAACGGTACAATGACCGAAAGGACTTATGGGTCCCGAAAACTTGGACCCAGCGTGCTTTGGGAACCAAAATACTCGTCCACAGTCTCTCTTGTTTTCGCCGCCATCTTAAAAATATTGAAATGAGAGAGACTGTGGACGAGTATTTTGGTTCCCAAAGCACGCTGGGTCCAAATTTTCGGACCCATAAGTCCTTTTGGTCATTGTACCTTTACAGTCTCTAAGCGTGGAGACGGAACGGACGAGCGAGAGACTGTGGAAGAGTCTATCGATTTTGCCACATTTAGCCTCGCATGTGCTGGAGAAAAAATTTATGGGGGTTAAACAAAGGTTTTTATTGTGACCCGTTTATTATATATTATTTTTTTAATGAGGTCCTTTTTGAAAATCATGATTATGAAAAAATTATATCAATAAAGATTATTATTATTTTATTTTTTTTCTTTTATTATTAATAAACTTGGCTGCTGTGTGAGTAAGGCCCATTACTCACAAGTAACAAACACCACCAGCAATCATTGATGATCTTGGTCCAAATATCCCCACAAATGATGGTGCAAACCAGTTGGAAAAGGTGAAGACAGCATACACGATGCCGAGACTGTCAAAAGATTATCAGATCAGTATTACAAGATGGCAAATAATGTTTTCCTATAAGGGTGTCGTATGTCAGATCAGGGAGATTGGTTGCATCAACAAGCAGCAGTCTGGTCAGGCAAAAGCTTATATCAAATAATACAGCTGGAAAAAAATGTTTATGCTATATGCACCTGCAGTAATTCTGACAGGTGAAACCACACCCACTAATTGTCGCACTGTTACATTCCTTTCYACCGTTGGATTTACCGTTCACTTGTAAATTATGAACCTGGCAGCATATATTTGAATGTTTGGCTTTGGGTTTTGCAATCTTTGAACATATCTTTTCAAATCTAGAGTGAATATATTTTTTTCATATTACATATCCTAGGAGAAGAGTAGGTCAGCATGTCCGGCAAGATTGAACATTCACCAGTCAAAACCAATAAATTTACTGGACAAATATCTGATATCTGTCACTAATTTGCAGGCTTGGTATAACGGTAAGACTGGTATGACTGGTATGACTAGTTATTATTTTTAGCTCTGTACATAATTATTATTAAGCTTAAACTTTCACAAGCGGATTTCACAAAATAGCGGTTATCAAAAACTGGACTCACCTAACATATCCATCCCCTGAAACAACAAAATACAAATTAGAGGTTTCTTTAACATCATACTCTTCTTCATATATTATTTCATTTCATTCGTGTTTCTTTACTTTACCTTGAGGATAAAGAAATCAAGGGTGGTAAAGCAGTAAAGATCAGAGGCTTAAATTCTGAGATATTCTAGCTAATATGTCAAGCTTGTGGGACATAGCAACAGTAACTAAGGGGAGTCAGAACAATGAATGATCTCAGAAGATAACCTTTCTCTTTAGATCAGTTTTTGTATGAGTGTGGAAAGCTCAGTGCTGTATGTTTGCCTCACTGCAACATGATGTTTTGGTTGGCTGATTTTTTTCAAACAAAATGTGATTGGTCTGGAAATGCAGAGACCGTCACATGACCGTGTGAACACCATGTTCAAACCATGTTTGGGTAATTGTCCTGGATGGAAAGTAAAATAATATTCTCATGCAATGGGGTGTATGCAGATTGCCTTGCAGTGCCACTACCACATTCATGCTTTTCACAGTCAAATGAAAACTGCTCTATGTGTTTTGTTGATCTTTTTAAGTACCTGCAAATGTTTCATTTCTTGCCTGATATTTTTCTTTCACCCCTTGTAAGACATAAGGCTAAAGCAAGACAGATATGGAAAACAAATCTAAATAAGGCGTTTAAAGATCATATTGACTTCAAATTTGAAGGGGTCTCGGTAAAAAGCTGAAACTGAAATGGCAGAAACACGTATAGATTTATACGTTTCGGTTTGAATTCATAACATGTTAGGATTTTTATGATTTTCAGCTATTTCAGCCGTTTCAGCCTTGCAGTTTCACCTTTTTACAAGATATAAACAAGTAAAAGATTCCACGACAAAGAAACCATAAAGCCATAAAATAAAACTCCCAAGTCTAACAATATGACCGACAATCAAACCGACATTACGATAATAGTTTAATATGTAGAGCAAAACAACTTGTTCTCAAATATCTAGAAAGTAAGAGCTTGTCATTTCTACACTAAAGAAAATAAGAAAAACCAAAAACGGATAACAAAAAAAAACAAATTGTGTTTTACCTCTATGATTGATGTAGTCTGGAAGGCCGTGAACATGAACATAAAGGCCATCCCCATCATTATAACGTTCCACATTCTCACATCAAAAAAACCCGCCATCTTGCTGCCTTCCCTTGAATACTCTTCCTCTCTGATGATTAATAAGGTCCACTAAGTGTGGAGGGGTCGGGGTGATTTTTGATATGCTCAAAACTATTTTAAATTTCGTCATAAAAAGTGATAAAGGACGCATAGATGATCGCTATGGACATACATATTATTAATATAGATAATTTAACCAGTTTTGAACAGCACAAAACGAGAAAAGATTTAGTATTTTTAGTGGTACAGAGATTCGACGCTACCCACCCTACTTAGTCAAAAAATGTTGTTATGATCCCATGACTGACCACACGTCAATATAAAGGAAGCCCAATACGAGCATTATGTTCAGTGATTTGGTTTTGGCTGATTTAAACATGTGATTTTGCACTAGAATTTGTGTTATGACATGAGAAATCCATCCATCCATGAATATTATTCATCCCACTCATCCCTTTAACCATCCATCACATTAATCTCATCCTTCTATCCATCATTCCCATTAATCTCATCCTTCTATCCATCATTCCCATTAATCTCATCCTTCTATCCATCCATCCCATTAATGTCAATCTTCTATCCATCCATCCCATTAATGTCATCCTTCTATCCATCCATCCCATTAATGTCATCCTTCTATCCATCCATCCCATTAATGTCATCCTTCTATCCATCCATCCCATTAATCTCATCCATCCCACTCATTTCATCCATCCTATTAATGTCATCCTTCTATCCATCCATCCCATTAATGTCATCCTTCTATCCATCTGTAGTGGTTCTAGGTTATCCCGAGGACTATAGTCAAGATGCGAGACGTTCAAGTTCTAGATTATCAGTTTATTCAGAGTTCAGTCAGTCAATGATTTCACAATTCCACGCTACAGGATTAATTTCACGAGTTCAGGTTTTCACCAGTTCAGGTTTTCACGAGTCCAGGTTTTCACGATTCGCTAGAATGACAATTGCAAAACCTTATATGAGAATATATTCTGTCCAAGAAAAACGGAATCAATATACTTACACATATGTGCTGTCCTGAAGATAAAATCATTCGAATTCCGGATTCATTTTTTAAGAACCACAACAACTTGTCTACTCTTCGCTATAACAACTCTGTCCCATTCCCACGAGCTCCTTCTCTCTCTCTCTCTCTCTTCCACAGGGAACCCACTTCTATCATGCATAAGCTATAACACCATCCATCCCATTAATCTCATCCATCCCACTCATTCCATCCATCCCATTAATGTCATCCTTCTATCCATCCATCCCATTAATCTCATCCATCCCACTCATTCCATCCATCCCATTAATCTCATCCTTCTATCCCATTAATCTCTTCCATCCCACTCATTCCATCCATCCCATTAATCTCATCCATCCCACTCATTCCATCCATCCCATTAATCTCGTGCATCCAACTCATTCCATCCATCCCATTAATGTCATCCTTCTATCCATCCATCCCATTAATGTCATCCTTCTATCCATCCATCCCATTGATCTCATCTATCCCACTCATTCCATCCATCCCATTAATCTCATCCATCCAACTCATCCTTTCTCCATCAAACTAATCCATCTCTCCATCCATCAAATGGGAAACGATCACAAGGAAGCCTGTGACCACAAATGGACAACACAGGGAAAAAATGGGACATCAGAGTGATTGATAGGCGGCATTCCCTGAGGTGCTAGGAGAGGGAATTCTAATACGGGAAAGGGTGGTTTCAATAGTAATAGGACCTCAAAGGGTTAATCAATCCAGTACCAGTATGACAAAGAAACACTTGAAACACATTAAATAAATGCTCTCTTTATAGGTTTTCATGTTGTTTTCTTTTGTTTCTTCACAGATACAATTTTATTTATATCTTAATTCCAATTTGTTTCTGATACCAATGGATACAATTTTTTTCCACTTATTTAATAAGTTATTTAGCCCAAGTGACTAGAATACTACTGTTGTTTTCTAGAGTTTTAGAACGCTTTGACATTGTTAAAGATTGTACTATGAATTCAACTGAATTACATTGCTTTGGTACATTCAAATTGCAGACACGATAAGAATCTACGAAACTTCTTCCAATGAAAACATTTGATTCGCTGTCACCGATGACTGTGTAAACATCACAGTACAAAATACTTTCCATCTCAGCCTGGATTGGACAATCCCACATGAGTGTGAGGCTAAGAGTGTTTCCATGGCTACCAGTTTTCCAGATGACATCTCTGTGTCTTAGGTTACTGACCACAGGAATTAAGGTTCTTAGTATTTGTGGGTCTAGAATCTGTTTCAAAACAAATATATTTAGTTCATTTGAAAAACTTTAATACAAGGACATAGAGTGCCCCTTGTCTCCATGTAGATGATGGGAAGTTACTTGAAGAATGATAAAATAACTGTTATTTATCTTACATTCTGATTGGTTTGGAGCACATGCATTATGACAACACCTAGCATGCAAACACACTTTCTATTTGCTCATTTGAATCCAAAATCATGGGTCTTTCTTTGTGTAGCATGCTTTATTGTATTCTGGGTTAAGGTTTTGTTTTGCAGGGTATTGTTTAGCTACAAGTTCATTATCCTTGGCTATTGTTTTATTGTCTTAATGCGCGCCTCAGGTGCCTTGCAACACCAAGAAAGAGCCTCCAAAATAATGGCTTAATTTTCTATTTTTATAAAAGAAATAAAATACTAAGTACTCTTGCTTGCTGTGCTGTATGGAGTGTGCTTTCTGCAATCCCCTGTATGACAGAACATGCACACGCATTTTCTATTTCTTTATTAATGATTTAAATACCTTGATTTCTCCAATGTGTAGCTTGAAAGGTGTGCTTATAAGCCCTGCAATGTAAATTAAAATATTATAATATATAAGATGACTGGTGAATCCTACATTTAATCCTAGCAATACTCACCAGGTAAGGTTTGGTTATTTGATGGCTTTGCACAAACTACACGAATTTCCTTGACCTGACACCCAACAAGATGTCTACCAGCGATCAAATAATACCTGAAAAGAAAGAAAAAAATATTTGAGATGTTTAGTCACAGAAATTATCAGTGTCCCATAAAGAGGGGGATTTGGATTTCCTAATGACTGTTCAGTGATTCACTAGGGGGGTTTAAATTGGCAAAATAAATAAATATACTAATCCTTTAGGGAGTTTGATAAGATCAAGGTGAAAGATCTGCCCCTAGTGTCAATGGTGTGTATGAACATGCACAGCTTTATTTATTGTATAGCAAGTATTAGAGAAGTTTTTAGTTGCTGCTTGCACTCATTTCTCTATATTTTTGAGTAGACATGCTAACCTTGTACACCAACCATCTGCAGATTTTTCAACTCCAAATATTCTTTGAACAACATCATGATCACTTGCCGTCACTGGTGCATATGCCTCAAAGTGTTCTTTACCAATTGGAGAGGTGAATGCTGATGATGATAATACCTTTGATGTGTGAACCCCATATTTTTGATTAAACATTTTGCTGAGCTTTGATTCCTCTTCATCTTGTTTCTTAAAGTCTGTGTGAAGTTGGAAGGTAGAAAAGAACACCTTTATTATACATGTAATAAATCACAACAATCAAGATACAAGAATTTACTTTTTTATACCTTTTGCATCACTGGGAGAAGGACATAATAAAATATATGTTGGTGTACGATCAGTGTGGAACTGAAGCCCAACTTGAAAGCAATCCTTGGGTACTAGTTTGTAGGTGAATGAAACAAGAATCCCAGAAGAAAGTGTCATATCAGTCTCAAACAACCTGGAATTAAAGAAATTGTATGGCAAAGTTAGCCATGCCCTGTCTTAGATCAGCCCAGACGTTGTTTCAGGGTTTGATCTGTGAGTTAGCCATGCCCTGACTTACATCACCCCAGAGGTTTTTTTTAAGGGTTGGATCTGTGAGTTAGCCATGCCCTGACTTAGATCAGCCCAGAGGTTGTTTCACGGTTCAATCTGTGAGTTAGCCATGCCCTGACTTAGATCAGCCCAGAGGTTGTTTCAGGTTTCAATCTGTGAGTTAGCCATGCCCTGACTTACATCAGCCCAGAGGTTATTTCAGGGTTTGATAAAATTATTATTTTGTAAATATCTTTTTTATGGCTTCATGTCAAGAAAATTCGTCATCCATCTCCTCACCTGACCACACCCTTGGCTTTCTCTGGCGTTTCACATGTTCGTCCGTGGACCAGCTGACACCCCCCTCCATTGTACGCATCATCAAGGCTATAACTAACATCACTTATAATAATTCCCCCTTTTCCTCCAAGATTATAAAAAGCATTGATATATGTTGGCTGTATCTGCTGGCAGCTAAGGTTTGTCCAGGGATGACTAAGCACTTCCTGTTGAAGAAAAAATACAATACATTTCATAATAAGAACATAAAACTATATCCCATAGTGGGTAATAAACCCATTTAGCTTGGGTATAAAGTTTTTCCACTTCAGACTGACAATATGATTCACTTGGGGATAAAATTCTTTGCTTGAGTTACTTGGAAGTAAAATAATAATAATAAAGGGAATGCATATAAAATATACCAAAGTTTAATACTAAGTATGAAGGAATTGTGTACAGAGACAGGAAACTTGGAAATAGTGTACACACTCAATTCTGAGTTCCAGATGGGAATTGAACCCATGACCTTCTGTGTTCTGGACGGATGCTCTAACCACTGAGCTACTGGGAATTGAACAAGCTGAATACATGTATAATATCCTAACTCTGAAAATTAGGATTAATGCAAATGCCAGGGATTTATATGATGGAGAAATTAGTTATAGAAGTGGTTTTTACCTTGCCATTGATGAAGAGTTTTTCCCCATATCCCTGACAGAGTGATGTAACAAAAGGTATACCCTTTGCCATTGGATGTGTTGGACATTCCTTGCTCAAAAGAGCCCAAAATCTATCGTTACATTTGGAAAAAAGATTCAAAAATCCTATGTGAACCTATTACAAGATGAGTCAAAACATTTGTAACTACAATAATGTCTGAAAATATGGTCCACTCCACATAGAGAGGGACCAATCTTAGACCCTCTTCTACTATTGGAAGAAAAGTTCCATGGTAAAAGAAAGCATCAATATACTTTCGGATTTAAGGCAGTTCCCATCCCACCTTGAAAAAGTCCAACAGGGAAGGCTTATCTTGGAATTTCCTTTTCTAAGACCCAAATACTAGAAACTGAAAACAATCTTACAGTGCTACTACGATAACTGGGGCCACCTAGGCGGTGAGAACCAATTAAATTGTAGAATGAAAACAAATACATTCCAACTTTGGGTATAGGAGCCAATCAGGAACCAGCGAAAAACAATAGCCTTCCAACATATATTTTTATTACCAATAGAAAATGGTGATGGCTATCTAGTTGTTCACATGTACATGTAATATCAGGATCAAATTACTATTCTCGAGCAGTCTATGTTTCTAATTGGCTTGACATTGGCTTGGCATTGTTTTTGTTTCTTGCTGTCTAGGTGGCCCCAGTTATAGTAGTCCCACTGTTAAATAATGAATAGATGATATCCTACCTATTTTGATTGACAGTGAAGTTCTGTTTTCCTTGTGTCTCCAAAACCCATCCTGGAGCAAATATTGCAGTAGATAGTTTTTCCTGTCTAGCTATCTTCACAGCCTGCAAACAAGTATGACAAAAACAAGCACCTGTCAATCTGTAAACATACATGTAAATACTACAGATTAATCTTATTAGAGCACCTTTTCTTTTCCAAAGACCTACAAACTTTAAACTATAGAGAAATGTGTCCATATTAAAATGATTGATTCAAGAGTAGATGGATTCTACTGGAACTAAGTAACTTTCCATAAAAGGAGTCTCATTGGGTTCAAGTGCTCTTAAAACAGGATGTTGTAAACTTAATTATAGAAAAATTAAATATTAGTGACCCCCCCAATTACAGCTGGGTCTCTAACCTTACTGACATTAACACATTGGATCCAATTCACCTGAGGCATAATATTTTCCCATTGCAGACCACGTGTCATTCTCTTAAGAATAAGATTCTTTGTTTAAGTTGTATCCATACTCATGTGTCTTCTTGCATGCAACCATTAAAGAAAGAAATGATACTATAGGGAATGACCATACATATTGTCTAGTTACCTCTTTTGTCTTGAATCCTCCACCAGCATAACAGCCACGTCCAAACACATCTACACCTACATAAACATCTGCAAGTGGGCGTTGATAAGCTGCAGCAGCATGGCCTAAAGTAGACACTTGGTGTACTGACCATGTGTAATTCAGGAATATCCCATCACATGATTCGAAAAACTGCCTACAAAGTAATAACAAAACATTACTGGGCACACATAATTATATAATCCTGTCAATATTTTAATTATTAGAATGGTAGATATAATGCTGAATGGGAAAACAGTCTGCTTTGTACCTATCATGGACTGCAGAGCATAATCTGGGGGATCCAGGGGAATTCTGCCCCATGCTATTTTATCTCTTATATATCTAATTTGGTTTTCCTTTATTAAAGAGAATGAAAGAGAGACAAACCCGTTCATTGAATTCAGTTCATTCTGCCATTGAAGGTCTCCTTTGTACGTCACACTATCATACCAAATGACTTGACCAAAAGGGTTCCGTTGATGAACAGCTTTAGTCAGATAATCAACAAAATCTATTAAATTGATCACTTTTGCTGGCTGGAACATAAAAAGAGAAGAAAAATAAATGAAATGCCGACCAATCTTCAAATTCTATCAAACCGTGGAATGACCTCTGATTTGATCTAACTAGAGAACAGATAACTCAAAGATCAACTAGGAATTTAGCAGGTTTGGTTCTGTAGTATATGGAAGAATGGAGAATCTAGAGAAAAACCCTCTAATCAAGGCGGAGATTGACCTACAGACTACAAATCCTACTCACATGTAATACCAAGTCCAGAAATTAAACCCAGAGGTGAGTACACTACTACTATGCAACTCTTGATCTCTCAACTTCAGAGGGCCATCCCTCCTGATATTAAAATCATACCATCTTTAGACTATTACCTGAATAGGGTTTTCGATGTTAATAAGCCAGCCATCAAATTTATAATAATCTGCTATTTCTACCAGCTGTTTAGCTAGAGCCTTGTAAGAATGTTCATCTTCAAGGAATTCACTACATCTTTGTGCACCATCATCCCATTCTGTTATCAATGTCCCAAGTACTAATACACCATTTGTGTGTGCCGCATTGGTCCAAGTGGGTGGAGGAATAGTGATGAAGTGATGACTAAAATACACGAAGATGTCTATGTACTGCCAATGGTAGATACGATAGCAATCACATGATGGGTATCCTTGAACAAATCTGGGTCGAAAAGGATAATCTAAACTACATATATATCACTAAACGGCATTGTGTCATCATCATACAAAAAGCTATATGCTGCAACAGTAAATACCTGTTGAATTGTTACAAAGTCTTTTAATGCACAGCATCTTGGGCATAATGCCTCCCCATTTCAGACCATGTATCATTCCCTAGAGTATCATTTGTTTGTTTAACAGTTGCGCGTGAGATAATCAATAAATATGGATACGACCAAACAAATTAAGAAATATTATCTAATTCTGAAGAGGGTGAAACGTGGTTTGAAATGGGAAAACATTATGCCCAAACAAAAGAGATCTGATTTTGTTTTTGTTTTCCAACATGTTACTGGCTTTTTACCTAATAATATGTACTTATTGACTGAGTGGGAGGGCCGTATGGGAAAATATTTGGCTCGAGGTCATGTCGTACGGACCGAGTGCAGTGAGGTCCGTACAAATGACAGAGAGGCAAATATTTTCCTGTATGGCCTGACCTAACTCAGTCAATAAGCATTTTATCATATGACCTGCACAAAAATAAAAAATAATTAAGAAAAAGAAAGCGTGCGGATTCGAGCAGGGCTGGACGGGTTTTTCCGGCCCGCTTACGTCAACCCGTCTGGCCCCCATCACGTGACTTTTTCCAATGGTTTTATTAGAGCACGCGAGCAGGGCCATACGGGTCATATGATAATCTAATAATTCAACTACTTCACCTGTCTTCAATGTATCCTCCCCTCATATCATGGCAGACAAGTGTTCTTGGTCTATTTTCAAGCCCCTTATAACCTGCTGGTAACAAAAACCTAGCAACATTGAACTCATCAAAGCCTTGCATCCATCTCATGGCCTCGTCTAGAGTCTTGATTGGTTGGGTGATTGGGCACCCTGTGTCAGGATCAAAGTGTGTGCTCTTCATCGTGTCTTCGACGAATATCTCTGCATCCGGCCCATTAATAATCTTCTTTTCAACTGTTACTGACTTATCCTGTGTTTTCTTATTTGTCTTTCGCTTTCTACATTTATTTTCTTCCCCTTCTGGTTCAGGTTCTTGGATATTTGGTTCTTTGTCAACTTTTCTTGTCGTTTCCTGAATATTCGTAAAATGTTTTAGTCTAGCCTCGTGAAGCCCTAAACGCGGTGAAATATCTCTTTGGTTGTTTCCTTGTGCAGTGAGCTGTTTATGTCGCTTCCATATGTACAGTATTATAATAATTCCCATAAGAAAAGTCCAAATAACGATAAATAACTTCAACAACTCCTCCATCTCCGCCATCTTGAATAAGATGAATGGCACCCAGGGATGCGCATCCATTTTTACACAGGCAGCCCAAGTCCTCTACCAGCTGACTGCATTGTCCACCAGAACGTCCACCAGTTCTACAAAAAAAGTCTTCATTTGATTTAACTGTACTATGTGCCTGTATGCTTTCCTTTTAATATTCTTTACGTTTTTTAAGTACTAATTTTAGGGATTTTTTGGAACCGGAAGTGACGTTATTTAATACTACAGTCAGTGAAGCAGTGATCACGAGATATACTTACACTGAAAATATGTCGGTCTCCAGCTCCGTGGAGGAAATCCTGAAACAGGCAAAGGACCTTTTTGAAAAGCACTTTAAAACTTCTCCAAATGTCGGTGGCTGTGCTCCGGGAAGAGTTAATTTAATTGGTGAACATACTGATTATAACGATGGATTTGTGTTCCCAATGGTAGGAAATTTAATTACTAGATATCATGGTGTTTTTCAACRACTGGGAACCCAGAGAAAACCTACAAACGACTTAATATAATGGCAGTTACTGCTCGGAGGATTGGATTCATGATCAAATAATTCATGGTATCCAGACAGTCTTGGATTCAGATGGTCATTGATTTAGATAGGGTGCTATTTTTGCCCCCCCCCCCCCCCCCCCCCCCATGTTTGATGTTGCATGATTACAGCCCAGATCTATATCCTTTAGGTATTCAATTAATATTAGCTTTATTACTCATGATTTATTCATTTTCCTTTTTTTCCAAGGCACTGGAGCTCGTAACTGTTATAGTTGGTCAAGCAACACCAGACCAGACGTGTCATGTAGTGACATCAGCTAATGGTGTTGATAAACCATATATGATTGATTTTCCTATTCCATCAGACTCAGCTCCTCTGTCTCCAGGCAAACCATCATGGGCTAATTATGTTAAGGGTGTAGTTGCCAACTTTAAAAAGCCTATCCCTGCTTTCAATGCAGCTATAGCTACGTCAGTACCTCTAGGTGGAGGGCTTTCAAGCTCGGCATCTCTAGAGGTAGCCATGTATACTTTTCTCGAACAGCTTTGTGGGCAGGAAGAAAAAGATCTTAAGGCAAAGGCATTAGCTTGTCAAAAAGCCGAGCATGACTTTGCTGGTATGCCGTGTGGAATTATGGATCAGTTTATTTCAGTAATGGGGAAGAAAGGCAATGCCTTGCTACTAGACTGCAGGTAGATGACTGACAAATTACTAATATTATTTATGGATGAAGAGAAATATGTCTATCTTTGCAGAATATAGATTTTTATCGATTTTCATATTATGTAAAAACAAGGACAGTTACCACAACTTTAGTTAATTAGCTTATACTCACTCGATATTATAAAAAAATTTGCCAATGTTTCAGGTCAATGGAGGCAAAGCTGATACCTTTGTCAGATCCCAGTGTAGTAATTCTAGTTACTAATAGTAATGTTCATCATCAATTGACTGGAAGTGAGTACCCTACCAGGAGAAGGCAATGTGAGACAGCAGCAAGAATTCTTGGAAAACCAAGCTTGCGGGAAGTAACTGAAGAGGAACTTAATAGTAAGTTCAAGTTGATTCCCCTATAGATAAATCAATCAAGATAATATATAGGTGCAGTATGTCATGAATTCAATTCCTGGACTCAGTGTCACATGGGAGTTCATAGGATAGTTTTTCTCCCAGGCTCTCAGGTTTTCCTCCCTCTACAAAACCGAACACACTAAATTCAAATTCAGTCTCTGAGTTAGCCATGAAAAGATTTAGATCATGCAGTTCTGGGTTGTTTGAGGGTATCGATAAATCGATGAGAGACATACTGTGGCGTCAGAGCCATTCTTAAAATGTTGTTGTGCTTAAATGTACTTCTCAAACATGTACAGATAATAAAGATAAACTGGAAAGAGAAGTCTTTCAAAGGGCACAGCATGTAATTGGAGAGATCAAAAGAACAACTCAAGCAGCTGATGCTTTGAAAAGGAATGACTATGAAGAATTTGGGAAACTTATGGTGGAAAGTCATAACTCTCTAAGGTAAGGATATGTGGAAGGACATGTGGAACTTGAATGTTTGGATTAATGTTATAACTGATAGCCCAACCAATCCCATATTCTATGATCCTTATTAACACTAGCTTGTTTAATATCTATATATTCTCTTATAGGGATGACTATGAAGTAAGTTGTGGAGAGTTAGATTTGTTAGTCAAACTTGCAATGGAAGTAGAAGGTGTATATGGATCTCGTATGACAGGTGGGGGATTTGGTGGTTGCACAGTTACGCTTGTTAAAGACTCTGCTGTGGATAAACTCATTCAACACTTAAAGGTAACAAAACAAGCTGATGATTTCCTGATATTTACTGCCATTTTCATAAACATTCAAACTTGGAAGCTACAAGCTGCAAGCTGAAATGTGGATTTTGGCTGCTGCCAGTCAAAAATATGAAAGGTACCGACTGATTAGTTTTAATTCACCATGCAGCTTGTAGCTACCAAGTTTGAATGTTTATGAAAATGGTAAACAAAAAAAGTAACCAATTTACCTTCTTTTAATCTGTTTCTTTTTCTTACTCGTTTTTTTCCCTTCCTTTTCAGTTTTTTTTTTTCTCTTCTTCCTCCCTGCTTCCTTTTTATTTCTACAGTAATGGTTTAAGTCAAATAATTAATAGTGCATCTCTATTTTTGACCTTTTTCATTTGATAATTGTTCCTCTAACATTCCCTTAATATTAATCTTTTTGTAGGATGGTTATCCCAATGCAACATGCCTGAAAACCATCCCAGCTGATGGTGCAAGAGGATTAAACATTTCCTAAAGAAGAGATTAAACAAGAGCACACACAATAATTAATAGATATCAGTCACCCAGAAGAAGTCTATAAATTGGATACTGAATCGTTCTTGTATGAATTCAACTTTAGCATGGATTAGCAATATCAATTTTTCTAGATATTTGATAAGCAATATACAATATCCATGTCTGATTTGTATGGACTTTACAGCCATCAGCTTGCCCTTGTTAATGTCCATACAGTTTAGCTGCTCATTATTACTAGATAATTACAGGATTATGTACAATTATTACTAAATTAGTCTTGGTACTTTGTCATTTGCCTTAGCATGATCTTCGTAAACCTGTGAAATAGATGTCAGTGTAGTCAGGAATAAATATCCAAAACAATACTAAACTTGAAACTACCTTCCAACATTGGCAATACACTACCTATTTATTACCGATATTAGAGATATTTTCCTGTGCCCGTAAATGAATATATAGTTAACATAATACATAGTAGACACAGATTCCACTATGTTTCATGGGCTGAATGAAATCACTCTATAGGAAATGTATTTAGCACTACTGCATGCTAATTTTTTTCCTATTGTGTTTATCTGTTCCATATTTATACAGGGCTTAAAACTATACTTATTAATGTTCATATCTTATATTCAATACAAGCTGCCCATACATGACAAAACACTCAAGATACCATGACAAATAAGGATTACCATATACTATACTGCTTGTGGAATTTAAATACAGATAAAGATAAAAATAAATTGCATTATGAATGCTGTTATTCATTTATTGAAAATGTTTTTAATTGTATTTTATTCAGGTTATAACCTCATGGTCAGGTAACACTAATTCACTAGTACAAATCTCGTCTACTACAAATGACAAAACTACAACATTGAACAATATAATATCTGTTCAGAATGAATATTAGGGTGATCTTACTTGGCACTTGAAACAAAGTTGAATAATTAGCGAGTACTAGTTGAAGTAAAACAAAAGAAAACAACGTAATTAGTGTTGTCTACTAATAAATTATGGTAAGTATCGTTTCAAGGGCCAAGTAATAAATCACTCTATCAATGGATGCATTACACTAAAAACCTGGATCAAAGCCATATAATAAAGGGTTTCTATCAAGTACACATTGAAACAGATGATTACACAGAAGTGTTTAACACATGGCATGTCAAGCCATTCTGTGAGAGAGAGATCATTGCATCAAAGAATTCTAGTTAGATCAATAGTTCTTAATTCTCAAATTCATTAACGATTTTTAAGGACAAAACAGAAAATCGCATAACATTTGCGCAACGTACGCTTTGCATTTCTCCAAGAATTATTAACAGTTTGAGAAAGAGTGTTTCATCCTCTATCCAAACACCTTGAAGTTGGTTAAAAGCACTTGGCTTCGCCTCAATCCACTTCTCGGTGTTTGGAAATGGGATGAAGCACTTTTTCATGTGTTTGATATATTTAACTTATCACATTCTATGTCATAATACAGTGTATCTGGACTTTTCCCCAGCAATAACAAATAAATCCACTATAACATAATGATATCTAATATCACCTTTCAGTAAAAATGTCATAGCTAAAAAATCTAATAATATTTTTATCTAATTCACTCATGAGTAAGAGTCATTAAATCAATGTGTTTATCCATGTCAGGATTTGTCTTTATATGTGTTTTAAAGCTTGAAGCAATCTCAGAAAATATGAACTCTTAAAATCATTAAAAATTCAATCTTTCAGCTGCTCAACTATAAGTCATTCCACAGTTGTTGCACCTCTTCTCAGTCAATAACAGACAACACAAGATGCCGATAGGAAAGAACAGAATAGCCAGGCAGATACCTAGTATAGTGAACTCAGACTGGGTATTACCAACACCACATGCTGGGCAATTGCCTGAACCCCTGACATACACATGAGTGGTAGTCGTAGCAGGCACTGTTTGGTATCCAGTGGGGGGTGCTCCATAGTTAGCAGGGGCACCACTTTGGTATCCTGATGGTGGAGGTCCTTGGTAGCCTGAGCAAATAAGATGAACAGACAGATCATTACAAGGCAACTCCTGTTTACCATTCCTTATTTATGCAGTTAACAGTCTCGAACACTCACAAACAATAAGTACCTCAAACAGATGGCCTTAGACAAAAATGTTTACAGGGGGAGGGGAGGGGAACCAACCCAACCTAGCTAATAATATACCTTAATATAATAATAATATACCTTAATATCTCTGTGAAACAATAATTATTCTAATTATTACTAAAACAGTTGTCAATTAAATAAGAATTCACTAAGGCATAAACCAAACAAAGATACATCTACAAAGGTATTTACTGTTGTTCTAGGCTTGTTAAGACTGCAGTCCCTGATCATTACTCAACCAAATAAGGGTGATGAAAGAATCCACAGTGACGCAGTATTGCCCTTGGTGCAGTTTTGTAGTAATTTCAATTTTAACTTGCAGTATTGGGGTCTTACAGACCATGGTAGTCAGTGAAAAAACGTGTACAATGGAGTTTTGTACCCCGATCTTTTGCTAACATTTATATTGTTTAGTTGAATTGTCTAAATGCAAGGCTGAGGCAAGTGCTTTTTCTGACGATTAGTCAGAGGTCATAATTGTGCAAGTTTTGATAATTGAAAGCTCTTCCTCTCATTATACTTGATATTATTAGTTGTTTTAACACAAATGATAAGTCAACATGTTGTGGTATTACAGGAAGTCTTTTTTTTGTTCCAAATGTTTTGCACCAGTAATATCCACAATTTTGTAACAGCTGCAATTATGCAATACAACTTTGGTTTTGTTTCACTGGTATATATGGCATGCACTCTGTCTTTGTACTAGTTATAAAACACTACCTTGAGGAGGCCCATATCCTGGTTGTGATTGATAGACAGGAGCTGTTGGCTGTGAATAGCCACCTCCAGGAGGCTTGTTCATGTCGGACATCTTTACTGTTGAGACACAAAGATATTCTTGGGGTGCATGTTACATTATAAGCTGCCATGTTGGTTAATGATAACAAAGAATTCCTCATTAGTTGCCTTTTTAGTTCAACCAACATGGCAGCCATTTCATTTTTATTTGTATCTCAAGGGAGTTGCACCCCAAGAATTATAAGATCATTAGGGAAATTATTGACTTTGCAACCTTATATTGCTACCTATATCTCTCTTAAATATCTCAAGAACAAATTAATATGGATAAACTTTGATCAGAATTTTGCAATGTTCCCATTTAAACTGCAAAAAATATAGACGGCATGTCATATATCCATGAAAGAATGCCAAATATTTATTGTCTAATAGCCAAAGTGCACAAGCACAAATCTCTAGCATAAAGCATGATGTGTGAAACCATGTATGTACTTATGCATTTTCAGCTACTCCAAAATTTCATGTGACAACTTTTCCTTTTACATTTTGGATAGAAACATAAGTACTTCAACAGACGAGAATAACAGAGTAGTTTTTTTCTGATAGTTTTTTGATTTACTTGTTCCATTTTTTAGTACTCTGTTTCCCAGAGTTCTTTGTGAGCTTTGATGCACAACGCCTATTGCAGTTATTTTGCTGCTATTTTGTACAAGATTGCTGGTTTTGATTCCCAAGAGAATGAAATAACGAAAGGCACGGAGGTCATGTTGGATGATATACCAAAAGAGACTAATGACGATACAACATGGCGGCTGTGAAAGCCATCAATAGGTTGTCACTTTAGCAAAACATTGGGAAGTAAAGCAAATACCTTTACGCGTCTTTGTTGGTTCATATCTGATTGAATTCTTAGCTATTTTACACGAATAACTCGTTTCAGTACTACATGACAAATAATAGTTTCACGAATATAAGCTTAAGCTTGTTTATGGGGTGCACTTATCCATGTATTAAACACGTCTAACATGAATCATGATCTCAAAACTAAAATATTCAAACATCATACTATCTAAACTAAGCAATAATTTTCAAAGTACGTATTTTTGCACACCTTTAAAGCAGCTTTACTGGTCCTTCCGTATAGCCGTCCAAAACTCGAAACTGAACTGAACGAAAGAGAATTAATGTCATGTGACGGGAACAGAAATGACGTTCGGGCCTCTAACACAGAGAGCCCAACTCTGTTTGCGTGTTGGCAGCCCCGTCAGAAAATGCCAAAATTTGTGCAATAGTACCCATGGGTCTTCACGGCACTATTACCTAAAAGTCCTTTGTGGACATATGATACATAGATCTCGTGTAAAGTCTGATTTATATTCAAGAGACAGTTGCCAATCAATGTCTAAGTTATCAAATTGATTGATTGGGGGCGGGGCTGCAAAACACGAGTCGGAAACTAATGTCTACGCATATTCTTTTTTCGTTAGTTGCTGAAATACAAGGTAAAGAGTGTATAAACTGACCAAGAAAGTTCAAGATGCCATGAAAAGATCCTTTCATTTGTCTACTCAAATTTTTAATCTAGTTACTCAAAGCAGGAAACTTTTCTATTTTTTTATTTATATATATATTTATTGCTGAAAATATAAATTTAATAAAAAATGAATTAAAAAATTATCTTATGTGAATAAGATGGGATTCGAACCCACCAAAAGAAATTCAAAAAATGCGATTCCACTGTGCCATACTCCCGAGACATCCGCAGAGCTGAGGCGGCGTATGGACTTCGGACCTGACGGCGATAGGACATTTCACGGATCCCGTTACTCAACCTCAGCCTCATCAGCGTGTAATTATTCTTTAGAATTTGACTACAGTCCGCAGTAATGAAAGGAATTTACACATCAACGAACAATTGAAACACTTAAAAATTTCACAGGTTGTAGGCAATTTCTAAAGAATATATTACACGCTGACGAGGCAGAGGTTGAGCCGCGGGATCTGTGAAATGGTCTGATTAAATCCTTCTGCCCTTGGTTGTACGAATTACGCAAGAAAATGTTTTAGCCAAAGTCATCAGGGGAAAGGACTAAATTCCTAACAAAATCTCGAAAATTAGTGCTTCTTTTACATTGATGGTTTTCACGTCGGCCATGTTGGAGGAATTTAACAAAAGAATTGTCAATGAATTCTTTTGTTATATCCTCCAACATGGCCGCCGTGTCTTTTGTTATTTAATTCTATTGGGAACTGTGGTTGAAAACCATCAATATAGAAATCTTACAAAGATATTTGATTTATCTATCGACTCGAATACACTTTTCCAGATAGCTAGAAAATTGAAAAAGTCGCACGCCTCTTTAAATCTGGTCAGTCACAGGACCCTGACATTTACCGTCCAATATCAGTCTTGCTAACGATGTCCAGACTTTTTGAAAAATTGATATTTAGATCTTATTAACCAGCGGGAGGTCTGTACGGGATAATCTTGACCGAGGTCTGTACCCGACCGAGGTCAAGATTATCCCGTACAGACCGACCAAGCTCGGTTGATAAGAGTTTTATTATATGACCACTTTTCATTGAAAAGGACAAAATGTTTTCGCCGTAAGATTAATATGCGATCGGACCGGTTAATACCGGAGAATCTAGACCAGTCCTCGATGCGATCTATCCAATCAAATTGCTCGATTTGCTAGTGTCCAGGCTCTAAGATTCATGGTCATATAATAAATAATCAACTATTATACTTATTTTATAGCTCATGATCTAATAAACCATCATCAATCCAGATTTAGATCTCTCCATTCTACCGTTACTGCTCTTCTTGATTTAACAAACGAGCTGCGCATTAACATCGATAGAAAAATGGTGAATGGAGTTATATTTTTTCTAAAAAATGCATTTGATACGGTTGACCACACCTTACTTTTAAGAAAACCTACTTTCTTTGCTCTAGGCAAAAAGGCAATTGCCTGGTTTACTTCCTATTCAAACAACAGATCTCAATCATGTTACGTTATGATGGTATTGTTGGATCAGACATAATGCCATTCGCTGTGGAACTGCTCAAGAGGTACCATTCTTGGTCCACTTCTATTTACCTTGTATGTTAACGACCTCTCACGATGTTTAGAGCACAGTAAAGCGAGACTTTCTGCTGATGATACAAACTTAACAGCTGCAAATAACTGTATTGCTGATTTACAAAACTAACTGAATACGAACGACATTAGCAATGTGGCTTCTTGGCTCCAAACAAATAAGCTAACCACGGTTAAATCCATCCATCCATCCATCCATCCATCCATCCACCCGTGCACCCATGCACCCATGCACCCACCCACCCATCCATCCATCCATCCATCCATCCATCCATCCATTGGTTTGTTCTGTCGATTATTTGTTCATTGTATTGTACTTACGTACTCGCAGAGTCCTACAAAGCAACAACCTGACAACTATCGTCCCATACACATTCAAGATCTTCAAGTACTCGAGATTTCTGACTGCAATGTAAGTAGAATTATTATGCTGAACAGATTCTGGTAGGATCGGGAATTTAAACGAAGACGTTTGCTTTTCTTTTCGCAATTCGGAGGGGGGGGGGNTCCATCCATCCATCCATCCATTTACTATCTAATTCCTTCCTTTATTTCTATCAATTCTTCTTCCATCCATCCCTTCATCATTGAATTGATTTCAGTATGTGTGGGCTTTGTAGCGTATGTGTGAATGAGCGCTTCCTCAGTTTCACCACTGTCCTTCTTCAGCTCCTTTCCAAGCCTGATGTCCCTGAGACCAGTTAGGCTTTTCAATACAAGGTTTTGGCTCAAACCTATAAGCAGCATTCATTTCAGTCCACTTAAATCCCTTGTAATCACAAATAGATTCAAACTTTTTGATTTCTGGTACATCATCCTTTTTACCATCGTTGCTCATTTTGTCGAGCTCGAGCATCTTGTCTCCAAAAGCTCCATGGATGCCCATAAATGTATCACAAATTTTGTTGCTCACGTTATCAAACTTGTTGGTTTGCGAGGCTCGTGGAAAGTGATGTAGTCTGACATCGTAAAAGTACCGCCTGGTTGGGATATCATTCATCCATATAGCTATTTGTTGATCTGCATGAGGATGGCACACTATTGTTGTCTTGTTTTGACTTAAAAATCGGCGAATCATGTCTTTGCTGAAAACCATCCAAGCTTCATCCATCCAAACGAGATCTTTATAGCAGTGAAAAAATCCCCAAACAAGATTATTTTTTGGTCGATGTTCTAATTCATAGAATAACCTGCTTAAACAGATGAAGTAGTCATCATCTGCACGAAGAAAGTACTCAAAGTCGTGGTGAGAAGCAGCCCATTGTATTTGATAGAGAAAACGAAGTCCGAACTCTTTTCCTCCAGCTAATGGCTGAAGTATCATGTCTCTGTACTTTTGATTCTCTTCTTGTAGTTCTCTGGATACATTACTGGTTACATTTCCATCAGTAAAAAAATAACATTTGACCTGTAAAAAATCGAGGCGAGAACAAATCATTGTTTAAGTCAATGAGCAGCAGTATTTGCTGCATCATGATCTTGGATAGCATGAATTGAGCATGAAGAACGATGATAAACTATTGTCAGGTATTACAACTACGTACGATTTCATTTCATCGAGTTCAAGGAACTGGTCATTAATAACTGGGGGGAATTCTGCTGTGTTTGCCCATAGTTAATTCCCCTCAATTAACTATGGTTTGCCTTGAAAGCTCCAAAGATAATTTGGTCCTAGGATTAAAAAGTTTTGACCCTCTCCCTTTAATAATATTCAGTGCTATATATAAGATAATGTAATAGCCACTCAAAGTTTTTACTCTACTTTACACAGTTCCTACTTACTTGATTATATATTCCCTGTTTTTTTAATATACCTTTGGTTACGCCCTACATAGTTTTACACTTTGCTCAGCTATTTTAGGATCATTCTTTAGAGTCTTATCATCTTAAGTGTATCTTTTAAGTGTCTTAAGTGTTTCTCGTAATCTTTTCTATAAATTTACGATATATTCAAATTTTGGACAATTTTGTCTCACTCACTTCGCAAAAATAGTGGATTTTTCAGATAATATGCTTTGATTATCCTAGATTCTAACAGTGTATTTTATTTTAAGATTTTTTAAAGTGTTTAGCCTATTACGGCAGAAAATCAAACAGAGCTATTCTTAGTTCATTATCCACATATGCCGTGTCATCTGCATATATGCTAGGCTTCGCTTTCAATAATGAACGTTCGAGTCGAATGATGAAATTAAGAATCCAAAAGTAAAGTCATAATGACCTCTACGTGTTCACGCTTGAGGCACACTTATTCCGTAGCCAATTAAGATTTGACGATTATATCAAATTGATTGAAGATTGACGCCTGTCATGATAGAATCATTATAAATATAGCTCATGTAATCAGGTCAGCAGAATAGATCTAGAGTAGAGTAGAGCTGACAATAAAGATCCTGAAGCTTCTATCGAGAGCGGTCGTCCCTCAACAATTGCGTCCGGCCAGTCTGATGATTAGAATTTGTTTGTCGAATTTTAGATAGTCTAACACGCGATAAACACTGACTACAATAAGTGACAGTTTTGCGGGAATGAGGCCCCGTCAACACTAATGCGTTTTCGAAAGGCTCCGTTTTCAAGACAAGTTGTCTTGCCGGAAACCCATCGATTGCTAGGATTTTCGATCGTCCACACTAAATCTCTCGAAAACGCATGCATGTCTCTTTGTGACGTAATGCATCAATTTTCGAATGCCCAGTAGAACAGCGCCCTCGATGTTTGTCCCACCACACGCTTGTTCGATCTGGTCGAATCCAAAATCTTCTCGGCCCTTGATCCTTTACTTAGTTGCCCGAGTCTTGTGCCCTTAGAATGGATGTTCTGTGTTGCCAACCAAAGGTTCAACAAAGCAATATTTAGTTCCAAACAAGCGATTAAACATCTCATCCGGCATATTATTTGTTGTATGAAAAATGCATTAGTGTGGACGGGGTCTGACATTCATTTATCATATGAGAGATTTTAACAAATGAGGACTGAAAACACACAGTAGAAATCACGACCGTGAAAAGGTTTCTAATCCTGTGATAGAAACATATTCATTTGCATAAACTTTAACTTATTGGATTTTCTTTGGCAAATTGACTCATTTTATCTTGCAAATATTAACAAAAAACAAAAGAACTAGGCTAGACGTTTGTTAAGTAATATATCGTGTTGTATACGATATACAAACTCTCTTCGACGACTCCAGTTGTCATATCGTATACAACACAGCCACTCATATTGTACATATTACTTAACGAATATTCAAAATCTTTGATAAACTGTATTTTTCGTTATATGGAAAAGTAGTTTTTACTTTTCTGTACTTGAAGTTAAATAAAGTAATTATGTTGACTTTAATATCTTAAAAGTAAAAATATTTGATCCTCGCTTAAAATGAGCTAAAACTGGGAATCTGTGACCCTCCCGCCAAATGGGCGCTTGAGAAAACCGTAGTCCTCCCTGGAAACACAGCATCCCTTTTTCCCCTTTATCAATGACTAGTCCCAACACGACGTTTATAAAGTTAAAATCAATACTCTACTTACTAAAGCCTCGTGTAAGATTTAGATAAAAGATAGTTGTTGTCCATCATGGATGGTGAGTTACGTACCTGGCTGTTGTTGTAACAATATCTCCAATAGGTTTTTCGAATTACATCTCTTCTTGCTCTTCTATAAGGTGCCGTGGAAATAATAACTACTAGTCTGAGACTATTTTTATTCCCTTCAGGGGAACTAGAGTTTCTTAAAACCTTGCTCGAGTCGGAATTGTCGCTGTTTTCTAGTGAAGAACTATCATCATCGAAAACGGATGAGTTGGAACGATTGAAAATTTGACTCGAAAAAGTCATAAATTCCATCTTGAAGAACAGATATGAAAAAGGAAAACCCATCAGGATAGTGAACACTAATAACATTCTTCGCTTGCTCATCTTGAATGTCGCGTATCGATTCAATAAAAGGCCAGGACAGAACTTTTCCGTGTTGGATGGGGCACTTGATGAACTAGTGTGAATTATGAGAAAAACTCGCAGAAACACGCGATGAATATTCATTAAAGACCCTGTCATGCTCGTACAGCACGTATCACAGAGCTCCCTATAGCTGATCACTAATGGTATTATTGCCTGCACTAAAGTGCTTTACAAGGAACACCGATATATTGGTAGGAAAGTTTTACATGAGTACTTGCTAAACAAGTTTAACAAATCATGGAGCATTATGTTATATTTATCTATCATGCCATGAGAGTTGAGACATGCTCTTCAAACTGGTGTTGTTCTTTGCCAATGTTGTTTAAGTTATATTTTTATCACGAAAACATGAAGGGATAACACCAGCCGTCAAGGCTTCGATTGCACGTTACTTCATCGCGGCCTCTCGCAAGAGAGAGAGTTGGTGCCATTTAACAAAAGATTTCATATTAGCATCCATTGTTAACGGCACCAAAACGGCCGCCATGTTTTTGTCCTTTGACTCTCTTTGGAATGCTTGCATCCATCGATAGACCAGTTTGAGGCAGCCTCATTATACTAAAGCGCACGGAATAGCAGGTACGCTTACACTAAAAAACCAGAACCCGACATATCTAAATGAGTACAACGGACACATGCGCAAGTCTACGCGACTCACCGAAAGGGTTTTGGGTAAAAATTACTGAACCGGTTTTCCCGCTAGTGCTAAAAATAATAGCTTAGTCTTAGCCAAAGAAAACCAAAGTCATTATGATTTAATTCACAAATTCGAAAATGTGAAGGCATTTTTAAAAAACCCGGTTTTTTCAACACTTTTCGCTCGAGCTCGTCCTGTAGACAATAGTTAATGTAGCGCGGATGTAAACCCGAAACATAATTAATAAGCAGTCAATCGCTTCAATGATTTCTACCCAGAGTCCCTTTCGGTCCAGTCGCGCAAGCTGGTCGACGATAGCGTTTTTTGAATCGACCGTATACATAAATATAACGCACACACAAACACTGATAGATGTGTTGAAGCTATACCATGCACGTGATGCATGCAGAGAATATTTTGAATCTAATTTTCACTTTCTTTTCAGAAAGGTGCTAAATAATAAGACTAGGGAAAGTGAGGTGGTGCAAAGGCTACAGCTGTTTCATTAGCTTTTTAGAGTTTAGAAGAGACAAAATCCGTTTTCACTGTGTTTCCTCTTCTTTGCAAAGTTTGCTGTGCCCATGCATAATACAGCACAGTTCTCGACCAATCGGAGCGTGCGACTATATGTAGGCTATATAGTAATTCCTTACGGAAATGTCATTGAATGATAATTTAAGTGTTTACTGTGGCTCAAAAAGGCAAGGACAAGAGAATCTGTGAATACTTTGAAATCCTTGTCTAAAAGTCTTCGAAAATACGCAGTACAACACAGGGTTGATTGCTGCGTTGAAGTAAGCCAGGATATTGACAGCCCTTTCGACCAATAGAACTCTTATGTATCCATCACAGCTGAATATATCTCCATTGATTGCTGGGTAACTAATCATTACCAAGTAAGGCATCCACAGTATTACAAGTGAAACAACAAGGGCGGTCACCAAGCGAACTGTTCTTTGGGTGTGAATCTCGCCATGACGAGGCATCGGGCCTACTTGGATGCGTGCAGATTTACAAATAAAGAAATTGAACACCAGTACTCCCAAGAGGGGTAGGCAGAGGATGATGATGGCCAAACATACTGTGTAAGGGATGTTGACTGTAAAGTCACAGAAAGCTATTGGTAGAGTGATAGCCAGTGATATCAGCCACAGTAGAACCAGGATTTCAACTTTACGGTTATTATCATTGCTAACGTTGAACATTGTTGTTGTAGCAAGATAACGATCCATACTTACGGCCAACAAAGAGTAGATGGACACGGTAAACGTTAGTATTCTCAAACTCGTAAGCGGTTGACTCACACACGATTCCTTCAACGTTATCTGTCCTTGTACGAGAGATAAAGACTCGCCAATGATGTTCACCCCCGAGTAGAACTCACTGGCGATGGCTATGTTAAAGAAAAACAAATCAGCCATGTTATGGTTGTGACGGTCGGCCAAAGCTGTCAAGATCACCAAGAAATTCCCAATCAAGCTGAGCAGTGACAAAACAAAGGCAAGAGTACCAAACATAGGCTCGAGTTTATAATAGATACCAAGTAGTTCTTGATGGTCAGGTGAAAGAACGAGTCCACATCTCGTACACAAAACAGACTGCCAAGGATCAGAGATATTCGAGCACTCCACAAGACGTGTGTCATTCACAGCCTCGCTCATGTTGGAGATATTCATCACTAAAACGTGAACGGCGAAATGCACAAACTTGAGAAGCTTTCTTGAGTTTTCAGTTCAGTGTATAGTACAGTTATAAGCAAATAAATATATCTAGATTAGAAAGATTTAAAACGAAGTCTGTTGTAACCTCTGATGTATAGTTGCATGCGAGAGGCTGTGAACACAACTGATGTCACATCAGAACAAATTACTTTTTGTCAAACCTTAAGGCCAAGTTGACGTCAAAAGAAAAGAAAAATTCCTACTTACACCCGTGTAAGCTTGTTAAAGTTAAAGTAGATGTGATTTAAAATGAAATCCGTTTTTAAGAATCAGTCGGAAGCATTAGAGATAACACTATGGTCAGCTGCACAGCTGTCAAACTAGAAATTGGCCTCGGAGCAACGTTCTACAAGTATTGCTAAGTATTGCTCCAAGGGATATGTACCGTGTTGAATGGAAAGCAGTTTCAAAACGCGATGACTAATGGTTTATATCATCCCAGAACTCAACTCAGTTTAAACCTGACCTGTTCTTAGGATCGGTATTGATTGCGGAAATGGATTAGTCAGTGCCTGGGAGAGCGATAGGAAGGCGCGGGAGGACTCTGGGTATGAGACGATTATATTTCCCTGCGTCAGAAAATGCCAAAATTGCGCAATAGTACCCAGGAGTCTTTATGGCACTACCCAAAAGTCCTTTTCGGACACATGATACAGAGATCCCGTGTAAACTGACCAAGAAAGTTCGATGCCGTCAAAAGATCTTTCTTTTATTGTGTCTACTCAAATTTTTAATCTAGCTACTCAAAGCAGTGAAACTTATCTATTTTTGAGTAACCTATTCTATATCCTATTATTTTAAAAATCAAAAAAGAAAAACGAAAAAAAGGATCAAAAGCGTGAGTAGGTGCTAATGTTTAGGTCACCTATCCAAGTGATAACGCTCCTCAGACGAGCTTGACTCAGTAT